CGAACCAAAACCCACTTACAAAAAACATTCGCATACGCACCCTAAGTCGCATACATACACTAGTGGTAGTAACCAGTTACAACCACAATCATCATCATTACCACCCCTGCCCCTGTTGCCATGCTGATCATAGAATATATGATTGCCCATCATTTAAAGCCAAGGGCATACACGAACGTATAACAGAGGTAAACAAATTAAGATTGTGTCTTAATTGTCTAAGATCTGGTCATCCTACTTTTAAATGTCGCTTAGATCCTTGCTGCGAATGTAACAAGAGACATATCAGCAAATAGGAAGATGCAACATTCCAGTAGCATGTTGCATCTTCCTACAGGTACAGCTGAAAACACAAGCAGTGTCAGTCACAACAGTTAGCTGAGACGTAACAATCAAGGTACTAATCTAAGTCTTCTTTCTACTGCCTTAATTGAGGTAGTCAATCCTGAGACTAAAACAGTACGCGCGTAAAATCTGAAACAGTACGCGCTCTACTTGACTGTGGCAGTCAGTCCTCTTTCATAATAACAATAATAAACAAAGGTTAGCATTAGAGGATTGACATATAGATGCCACTAGGGTTATCGGTTTTGGCAACAATGATTCAGGCACTATAATTGAATATTGCATAGCTCAATTAAAATCGAAAATTCAATTAACTCTTATTTCTAACTTTTATGGAATGGATCAACTAACAAGTTAAGTGCCCAGTGTATTTATTGACATCAGATCATTTAATATTCCTAGTAATATCGTCTCGGCAGATCCCAATTTCTATCAACCTGCTTTCGTAGACATTATCATAGGCTCAGACTTATTTTGGGATATTATAGGTTGTGAACAGCGGTCACTAGGCCCAAATTGTCCTAAACTTCATAGCTCAAAACTGGGCTGGCTGATTGGAGGCCCCTCGCAACATAAACAACCCCGAATGAATATTAAATGCAATCACTCACTTGCCGACATTTGTCATAATGAAAATATTGAACCAATTCCAAATAAATTTCATTCATTCATTTAATGACTTACAATCTATAACTTGCTATTTCTGACTTCATCATCCTGTGTTTAAGCAAAACAGTGAGTCGACAAAAATTAGAATAGTGTTCGATGCATCAGTACGCACGATATCCAAATGGTAGGGCCTCAAATTCAAGACACCCTTTTTTCTATATTAATTAGAGCTCGCTGCTCGAGTACAATTAACGGGTGATGTAGAGAAAATCGAAGATCGATATCTTCAACGTGTTATATGAAGACAAGACCAGCATAAGCCCCTTAAAATATTACATTTGCATACTGTGCCTTACGGTTTTTCCAGCACAAGCTATTTAATTACAAGGTGCCTTTGGCGAGGAGTGCGACGATCCACGCATTAAGACTATAATACAGGATGACATGTACGTTGATGACGTCAACACCGATTGTAAGAGTCAAAGTGACTTAAAACGTATAAGGCACTCATTATCGGACGCTTTAAAGAAGGGCTGCTTTAACTTAAGGAAGTTTAAATCCAATTCGCCAAACGTTCTCGAATCTTGCTCGGAAAACTCTAACGATACTCTAATCATCAGTGAATCATCAAATGCTCTTGGCTTCGGGTGGAATTCCAAAACAGACCATTTAAATTTCTCTTTCGAAATATCACCTGTCATAGACGGCGGACACGTTTGCCGAGAAGCTGCGGGAAATATTCACGGAATATACACGGATGGTGTCAAGGTCGCCAGGCCTATCAAGTACGCAGAACTGCGCATCTCGGGGCTGGACGACTCTGTGACGAACGAGTATATCTGCGCTGCGATTCGTGAGAAGACGGGTTGCAGCGCGGAAAACATCAGGGTCGGCACCATCCGCCCCGGTCCGGGAGGGCTTGGCGCTGTGTGGGTCTCCTCGTCCGTTTTGTGAACGCTAGGATCACAGTCCTGGCAGCACGACCGATGAGGTGTTTTAAATGCCTAGCGACGGGACACACACGCGTCAAGTGTGAAAGTTGTTTTGACTGCAGCGGACTTTGTTTCTGTTGTGGTCGACAGGGGTACAGAGCGGCAGAATGCCGTGATAAGCCTGCCAATCACCATATGGGGCAGGGAGACTGCAAACCTCCTTGTCCAGAGGAACCTGAACCACTGTGCCGATGCGCAGGACCTCTTCCTGCAAACCATGGCGCAGTGGTCGATCGGTGTGGCCATAGCCGCGGAGCCCTATTATGTTCCTCCCCGTCCAAACTGACTCATTCCCTTGTCGTTAAGAGTCAAGGCAACTGGATATGTTGCTGCCGAGTGGGCGGGGAGGATCACCATATATGGTGTATACTTCTCCTCCAACCGGAGTTTAAGCGACTTCATGGTTTTCCCCAACAACTTGGAGACCTCGATGCGGCGACTGGCGTCTGGGCACGTTCTTGTGCCGGGGGACTTCAACGCAAATCCATTGCCTAGGGTTCCCCCAGGGCGGACGCAAGGGGCTAGGCTGAAGAGGACTGGTGGGCCTCTGTCTTCTAAACAGAGTCTCCACCAGTCCTCTCTCGTGAGTGCGACAGCAGGGGGGTCGATAGTGGACATTTCGTTCGCTACCCCTGCCCTCGCCGCATGTGTCCTGGAAGAGGTTCAGACGCTCTCGGATCACCTGTATATCCGATTTGAGCTCTCCTTGGCTGTCTCCGCAGGCTCCGACTGAGGAGGTCGACACGGGGGCTGGTCGCTTTTGTGATGCGATTATTTATTATTTTTGTCTTAGGGTTAGCACATACACTCACACACACCCCATACACACTCACACACCCACATAAACATACACACAGAGACACTCACACACATATATACACAAGACACACACACACACACACGCAGCATAACACATGAACATATACACTTTTATCCATATACATACACCCCTCCGCCTCCGGTCGCCTCCTGCTGGGGGGAAAGCTTATTTGTTACACCGATGAGACGCTTACGGGTAGCCCTGGATAAGACGGAGGCGCTCTTGTTCCATGAGCCCCGTCGTGGTCCGCCTCCCCCGGCGACCGAATCGACCACAATGTAGGCGACATTGTGGTCGATTCGGTCCTCGTGCCGGTTCTTGATTTTTGACTGCTTCTGCTCTAGGGCCACTTTTGCCCAATTTGGGTGGAGCAAGCGTCGCGACAAGATTCACGGGGGTTGTCATGTCAATAGCACTGTACGGTGCACAGTTGTGGGCGGGATATTGACGGTTAGAGCCATACGCGGATACCGCATATGGCTCTAACTACTACCCACTACTACCCTATCCCAAACTAGGCAGAGCCTGTACTATGGTAACCAGACTGCTGGTAAACATACTTATATATTTCTTAAATCAACCATCGTGCCCATCACACAAATATTTGTCTTGGGTGGGAATCGAACCCACGACCTACGACCGCTTAGCAGTCAGGTGCACTAACCACTAGACCAACAGGCCAGTCCTTGAACATAAAGTCCATAAAAATTAAACTAAAAGAAATTATCCAAACTATTGAATCGATGTCGAGAATAAAATCCTCTGGCCATGACGGGCTCAGCATCGAACACCTGAAATACGCAGGGCCACCTATGGCTAGAGTTCTTAGCGTTATATTATACAGTTCGTGCTTTGGCCATAGGTACATGCCCAACCAGATGATGCGGACAATAGTGGTATCCATCACTAAGAAAGAGAAAGAAAAACTGGAGACCTCGCAGACAGCGGTAACTATAGGCAAATTTCACTAGCATAGCTGTGAACTCGAAAGTGTTTGACAGTGTGATTGATACACAACTAAATGGCAGCAAAATACATCGAAACAAAAACGGAACATCTTATAATTTGCATGTCTAATATATTTTCATTTTGTCATAATAGTGACATCTATTGATCAGTTTACGAATATACAAGTATATAGCATATTAATGCCAAGGTTCATAAGCTTTGCACTACTTTATAAAATGTATCATCATCAGCCTATCGCAGTCCACTGCTGGACATAGGCCTCTCCCATCGCACACCACTTAGATCGATTTTCGGCTTCTTGCATCCAGCTCCTGCCAGCCATCCTGCGTAGATCGTCACTCTACCTGGCCTGTGGGCGTCCTACACTACGTTTGCCTAGACGTGGTCACCACTCAAGAACTCGTTTACCCCAACGGTTGTCGGTTCTGCGGCTAATATGGCCAGCCCACTGCCATGTATGTATGATATAATTATATGAAATATAATTCCATAAAATGTATATATAATTTGAATTAACCGAAACGAAGGCACGTGTGGGGATTCCCAAATCTCCCACACTGAGCAATAGTTTTACCTTCGGGAAATCATGGGACGGCTTATTGCTTGTTGCGGTGGTAAGATCCACAATTAATATCTTGAGAGGAAACATGAGACAATTTCACACCGGCTGACGCAGGTGATCACCGGAAAAGGATGCTTCTGAGATCACCTATGTCTGATCCGTAAGGAGCCAACGCATGGGTGGCACCATTGCGATGGCCAAAGTATCAATACGACGCTCCCTACGGTAGCAGAATGCCCGGCGGCGGTAGAGCAGTGGTCTGAACTCGTGACTGGGTGGTAGTAACAGGCGAGTATAAATGAAACAAAACCAGTGTAGTATTAATGAAATGGGTCGGCTTACGATGTAATTATGTCTACAACATTTCTTTTTCCTAATAAGACCATTTCTATATAAAAACACAATACTCCATATTATATTCATTTACAATACCCATTTTAATACGTATTTTATTAAAAAGTTAAAGTCTACAATTATTGAAAAATCAAATAATTATTCATTAATTATTATACTATCATTAAGACATTTTATTTATTTAAAACTCTTTAAAAATTTAAAGAAGAAAATTATTCTGTTTTTACACTATGGTATTTTAAGTGTCACTTCATAAGCCCATTTTATGAAAATCGCTTTCAAAATCTAAAAGTGTTATTGTTAAAAAATTTAGATGGCTTATATATAACTAAAATTATATCATATCACTATGAAATTATCACATATTAAGCTAATATGGAACATAAATACAGTATGGAACACTCGCCGCGCTGTCAGAATATTAGATGGGCCGAACAGGGTAGCGATGCATGCGCGACGGCACTGGGCCAGTGCAGGTATCGCAGCAGGACCAGAATTTTGCATTCTAGACTCGTGCAGCATCCACCCAAACCACCAGGAACCGCGAGTGATCATTGTGGGAGCTGGCATGGCGGGACTTTCTGCTGCACATCGCCTCACACAGTGTGGAATACGTAATTTCATCATTTTAGAGGCTAAAGAAAGGTATACATTATTATAAGGTTATTCTCTTTCTTGCCAAATAAATATGTTCCTTAAATATACATATAGGTATCACACACAAGAAGTTAAAACTGTAACACTAATAGGAAGATCAGTTTATAAATAGTTTGGAAGACCATACTAGCCAAACCTAGTAATTAAATGGCAAAAGGGAAAAACCTCTGAATTGATAAAAGTGCCGTGTACTACGGCTCTGCCATGGTACTCGTCCCTAAGTATTATAATGATGAAGCGCGTGATGTTACATAGACTTCTTACTTGTAATATAAAGTTTCTTTCATTTTGACCGTTATTCCCTCGACGATCGCAAATCCGTGACACAGAATCGGGTCGTGGAGTTATTATAACAATGACTTCTGTAACGTTTCATACATCACACATCATATCAACAGTCTTTAGTAATACCCTGCTGGACATAGACCTTCCTTAGAATGGAGGTTTGTTTTAATGTATATCCAATCATTGCAATACTATGTTGGATAAGATAGCCAGGGATACGGTATAGGACGCAACATACATTTTATTCAGACTAAACGGTAAGTAGTAGTAACGGTAACAATCTAAAACGTTTTTACTTGTGCTCGATATTTTAGATATATTCAGATATTTTACTTAATTATCCTATTATACTTAAAATAACAAAATTATCTTAAAAAAGAACATCGACCAAGTCGTACCTGAGCATGGCCACATATGACATTGTATATGAAAAATAATAATTATGCTTTGTTTTTACAGTTACAGAAAAAACAAGAAATATATTTTTTAAATAAACGTTACTTTTGTCAGAAATGATTACGTTAATATTCAGAACGCACCTAGTGATGTTTCATTTCGCTTATAAAATGACTCAAAAATCAAAAGTTGCAATAATTATTCTAATTTTTATAAATTATTAGCAGCAATTTAATTAGAAATTTTTAACAATACAAAAATATATGCCTGACATTCACACAATATAAGCAATTCTTAAATTAGAGATTATTTACGTAATAGCCACTACTTCTTAGCTTTCTTTTTCTGATACTTACGAAGATTGAGCCTAAAAATGCTGTTGCTACAACTGCAGAGGTAGTTGAGATTATTCTATACGTTGTAGCATGCATTGTATGGTGCAACGGTGTGGGCGGAAGCTGGCTCTGACCACCCAGAATAAGAATAAGACGAATAAGAATAAGACGCACCTCTAGCACCCTCAGAGGGTGGTGACCGAACTCTCCCATGGGATTTAGAGGCGGAAATGAATGGCGTGAGGCCCCACGCCGCCACGAGGACTCGTTGGTCATCCCGGCTTAAGGCTCCATGTACTGGCTTTAGTGCTGTGGAGGCACTTCAGCCGGTCATCCTATAGTAGGCAGAGTGGCAGCACGAGTGGCAGCACGAGTCAAGACTTTTTTTATTTCCACCTATTTTTGGTGATTTTCTGATCTGTACAGTATTATGATAAGTAAATATAAACAAGGTCGCTAAAAACTGAACTTATGCGGTACTTATGCGATTACAAAAAAAAGTCGATTTTAAGGCAGTTAAGCCTTAAAATCTACTTTTTTTTGTAACCGCATAAGTACCGCATAAGTTTTAGCAATAATTAATTATCTTGGCTACTTAGATGTTATTTTCAGACAGAATGGTGTTTACTACATAAAAATAATCTAATCTCACTATAATTTCTTTCCATCTGCAGTAACTAAAATTCAGGTACTACTTCTATAGAAATTTGGCCGATGTTCTTTGTGCATCTTTACATAATATTGTGTGATTTAACTTTGACGAAAAATTTGGAAAAAAAATGTTTCTAATATTTCGAAGCAGTAAAATTTTCTTTTTTAAAATTCACAGACCAGGCGGCAGAATACATTCTTGTTGGCTTGGAGATTCAGTAATTGAGATGGGTGCAGAATGGATTTTTGGTGCTTGTTTACCAAACTCAGTTTACACTCTGGCATCACAAGACAGGCTTCTTCAATCACCTTTGCCTCGCTTGGATGCCTCCCGGGGCTTATTTTGTACCAGCGAAGGACGTGCAGTTGACTTACCTGTGACAATTACGGCTTATCATACTTTCAGGCAAATAGAACAACAAGCAGCAAACTTGTTTAGACTCGGTGGAGAACGAAGGCATGGAACTTTACTTAACTTTATAGGTTTGCGTATACAGCAAGAATTATTTAATTTTCCAGAGGATCAGAGGTATGATGCTGCTCGAGTCATGTTCGGACTGACTAACATTTTAAGAAACAGGTGTGGAGATGATTTGTCACTTGTAAGTGCAGATCAGTACGGCAGTTATATTGAGTTACCTGGCGGTAGCGTACGAGTTCCATTAGGCTATGTTGGAGTAATGGCACCACTATTACGCGAGCTTCCAGACAACTGTATACGATACCAAAAACCAGTAAATGTCATTCGGTGGGGTCACGGACAAACGGGATCGGGCCGTGTGCTAGTCAAATGTTGTGACGGGGAAGAGCTGTTTGGTGACTACGTCATACTTACGCTGTCTCTCGGGTGTCTAAAATGTCAGGCGGATAAACTATTTGCTCCTCCGTTGCCTGTTTGTAAATTAGATGCAATTTGTAATCTAGGGTTTGGTCTCAGCGACAAAGTATTTCTTGAATATTCTGAACCATTTTGGGCGTGCCACGAGGGTAATTTAAAATTAGCATGGTCAGCAGAAGAATTACAATCGAGAAATGATTGGACACGAGGCGTGTGTGCAATCGATGAACTGCCTGGCAGTAAACACGTATTATGCGCACTAATATCAGGTCAAGAAGCTGCTGTAATGGAATCAATGGCAGAGAATGACGTTGCCGAAGGCTTGACACGATTACTTCGAAAATTTACGGGTAATCCGTGCCTACCCTACCCGCAAATGATGTTACGGTCTAAATGGGCGGCGGATCCACACTTTTGCGGATCTTACTCCTATATGGGTTGCTGTTCAACGGTGAGTCATCAGTGTGAATTGGGCACGCCAGTGCCTGGTCCGTGCGATTCAACTCCTCCAATTCTACTTTTTGCTGGAGAAGCTACAGTACCCGGATACTTCGCAACAGTACATGGGGCGCGGCTTAGTGGTATTCGTGAAGCCGAACGCATTATTTTATTAACAAAAAAGTTCGAAGGTCCTCCAAAAACATAATTTATTCCTTTATTTGTATTATTAATTACGCGTAGTGTAGGTATCCTGTCGAGTGTTGTTATAATTTAAATACTGTGACGAGGGTATCATTTGTTTTTAATAAATACTATATACACATATTTTTATAAAGGATGAAGATGTTTTACTTATTTTTGTGTTATTGATGGACCGGTATCCATAATCATGTAAGTAATAGATTTTTGGAGCAAAGTTATAAATCCGCCGATTGAATATTTTCTTGATTAAATTATAATTATTAGCGAAGTATTCAAATGATACAAAAAGAGAGAAACAGAATATGTCGAAACCGAACTGACTAAAACCACAGTCATAGCAAATTTCCAGCAAATTTTTCATGAAGAGGTGTAATGCATGCGTTAACCCCTGGTTCGCTTTCGAACAGATTCGCTTTACGGCGGCAGAAGTACACTGAGCTCGATATATCTATATCGAGTTTATTGTAGTTTGAAGTAATAACACCTCGGACCCATCGTACCGTACACTACCGTACAGCCGTTAATACAGCTTTAGGAAGTTTTAGAATCGCCTTTTTTCAAAAATGGTAAATCTTAGAAGAAAAACGACTGGACAAGTTTGTAGATAATTGCATGATCTACATTTTTGTCTGACCTATTTGTATCGTAAAACTAACTGTTTAGCTAAAAAAAAAAAGACATTTTTGCCAAATATCATTTTTTTTTAAATTTGCACACATGGTATCGATGGGGACCTTTCACAATTTCATTATAACGGTATCCCTAATGTCCGTGTTGGTGTCGGATTAAGAATACGGAGTGTCACCACCCCTATTCATCCCGTGTGTGTCGTAAGAGCCGACTAAGGGAAGGCAAACTACGCAGGACAACAGCACTGCAAAGAGAAGGAAAACTTGAAACCAACCCTATACCAACCCGTCTGGCCAGCGTGGTATAGTAGGCCAAAACCTCCTAAGGATAGGCCTATGTCCAGCAGTGGACTATTTAAGGCTGTTGATGATGATGATCCCTAATGTTCATGCAAAAATTCACCTTCTTGGGCATTTATGCAAGGCCCAACGTCTATTTTGATCGGACTAATAAGTACTTATTAAGACTCGGAAATATTCGTTTCTAACTTATATCTATAATTCATTATGGTTTTACGTAAATTGATTGAAATACGATTTCCGTTGAAGAGGTCGCAAAAAATCTTTATAAGCTTTCCGCGTAAGCCAGCAGAGATACATTAAAGGTAGTATACTAGCTAGAGAATCGTAGATATACAATAATGCTACTAAAAAGTTCCCCATAACATATTTCTATCTACTACGGTTGACTCACAATAACTATTATGTTCTAAATATTAATTAAAAATATTACGTTATTTTCGAAGCTGTTTTCTTCTGTTCAGTATTAATTCTTATCTAACAAAATACGCGCGTTAGCTTGGACATTTAATGCAGCAGATTAAAATTGTAAAGTACACTAGAAGAAATTATATTTTCAAAATTTTACCAAAAAATTATATTCGGCTCCGCCGCTCATCTTATCTCTCTATAAAAGACGAAATTGACCCAGCGGTTTCAGCTGTGGGTGGATTGATCAGTCAGTGAATCAGTTCACTATGAAATTTTGCAAAAATGTTCCTTAGATGACGTAGGTGTGCACTAATAAAAGATTTAAAAAAAATGCTAATGCAAGCAAGGGTGCAAAACGGGGGTTGTAATTTTTTATGAAACTGTTATTTTTGGTAGTAGTTTTCAAACTCACAGTAAATTTACTAAAATTTTAAAGAGGATATAGTTTGTGAGTTTGTTTGTTTGGGGTAATGTCAGGCACTATAGGTTCAATTGAAGAAAACTTTTAGTGTTGGTGTTACTGCTTTTATGCGGTAGGTTCTTCTTTTAAATAAGTATGTAACAAGAACCGCAATGTTCGATACTGACTAAATTATGTAAAGATGGAACACTGGTGTCAATGAGCTCGATTTCGTAGAATCGTTTCATTTTGCCTTTAATAAATATAAATAGATTCTATTTGGTTTTCCGTTAAAAAGTCAGAACTTTGACCTATTTCAATTTATCGTAATGGGTAATAATAAAAATTCAAAATGCTAGTCATATTTTTACTTGTATACGAGTATATAGACACCGATAAATAACATACATAGATACATTCGTAGATTATTAATATGAATATAATTTATAAAATATTTATTACAAGAAATTAAAATTAATATTATTTTCTAATTAAATATATACGAAATATAATAATAATAATATATATTTCCACTCGGCCATATTGGAAACTAATGGTTGGAAACCAGTTTCCAAAAAAGAATTACTTCTCTTTAATCGAAACTTGGTTTTTAATAAAGAAAAATAATTCTGTTTTCACAAGTAAGTCACAAGGAAATTATTTCCATTCAAGGATTGTAGGTTGGAAGAGTTTCAAAAGAAGATCCAACATTCTGTGTTGGTAACCAGTTTCTAAAACAGAATTATCTTTATCGAAACCGGGTTGGTTTCGATAAAAAGGAAATAATTCGGTTTTGGAAATTGGTTTCCAACCATTAGTTTCGAATATGGCCGGAGGGAGGGATATATTAAGTTAATACAGGTATAAAAGTGTAATCAACGCTTATAAATTATGTCCCTATAATAAGGGGTAACACAATTATAAAAGTATTCGGACATGCCAAATGTCCCAACAGGGAATATAAACAAGACAGTAACAACTAATGCAAAAATTCTCAATAACAACATTTACCAGACATAGTAATAATAATAGTACCTAATGGTAGAAAGTCTACTTTCTATATAGTGCCAACTACCATACGACTTGTCTATATAATATTATTGCTCTGTGAAGAATAACTTTAGTATTCAAACACGTGAATTTAATTACCCCCTGCAAAAAAATGCATACTAGCCTAAAAATCATATTCTCCCTTCTTTTTCAACGGCTTTCGCTTTAGGCAAAAGGTTAAGTAGTAAGTCTCATAAAAATGTGTGTAAATATTTGATATAATAAGTATGTTTTTTTATGCACTGTAACGATTTTGATTAAATCAATAAGTAGCAATAGTTACTTATCCAATTATATATGATTTACGTGGACATTGATACTTTTAAATGATAAGAATATGTACAGATAAATAAATAAAGATGGCTTTAATTTAAACAATGTATAATTTATTTACAGCTGATTAAATCAACCCGCAACAATAAATCATATCGTTTCTACATCCCGAGGGTAAGGAACTTATTCAATGAGAACTTATCAATATGAGTCACATATGTTCGTGATACTTTCAACAGATAAAAATATAAAAAATATATATTTAGGTTTATCTATAGCTTTGCTTCGAATATTGCAAGGACCACTTTCTAATGATTTTATTGTCACATACGGCATTTAAATACAAATAAATATTTTATAATTTACTTAATTTCCTAAATAGCATCCTGCATTATTTTGTGCTTTCATATACATTACATTTTTGTCAAAGTACTTTCAACATTTAATTTTAAAGAATACATCTTTACGTCAAAATTAAATAAGTCCTACTTAGATAGTCAATGATTTACGCTGAATGGGTTTTGAGTACATCATTAGCTGAAGCCTTTACTTCCTCCCAAGAGATATGAATGTCGCTCTCTTCGCTATAACGAGAGCAAATTGCCAATCTCAAGAAATATACGTCATCAATCTTGGATGGAACCAGATGGATTTTGCCACGGCCATTAATGTGTCTTAGTAATGCCTCATTCAAATCATTTCCGCCTTTCAATCTAAAGCACACCAATCCCATAGTAACTTCTTCAAAGATTTCAAATCTGTCATCGTCGGTGCATAGTTTTTCGAAGAGATGAGCCAGTGCAATATGCTTTCTGATATGCTTCTGAAGATTTTCTACTCCATACAGACGCAATACAAACCATAATTTAAGTGCTCTGAAACGACGTCCAAGTGGAATTTGCCAGTGGCGATAATCTGGGGCTGATCCTTGCTGATCATGTTTTAAATATAGAGGATCCACGTTAAACGCATCAACAATCCAACGCGGCTGTTTTAACCACATTGCGGAACAATCGAAGTTGACCAATAACCATTTGTGTGGGTTGAAATTGAAGGAGTCGGCCTTTTCTACACCTTTCATGAGATATCTGTATTCAGGACAAATAAATGCTGAACCAGCGTAAGCTGCATCGACGTGTAACCAAACATCGTTCGACAAACAAACGTCCCCTATTTCATCCAAGGCGTCGAAAGTGCACGAAGATGTAGTACCTAAAGTGGCTACAACCTGTAACAGTATATTACATAGATTAGTATGTACACAGTAAGTAAGCGTATGTTATTTTAAAACGTAAATACCAAGTTTTGGACAACATTTTGTTGTAGAAAGGCTGTAAAAAACAGTGCGTAATTTTCTCAGGTCTTAGGCCAAGACCGCGGCTCTAAGCACCAGGGACTTCCTTTCTAGGGTATACCTGGTTCCCCGGCTATTAGTACCCGGCGAAGGCGTGCGGTTTTAGTCGGTTCGAGTCCGACATGCCACCGACAGGTGGTATCCGAGGGGATTTCCGCACGGAAAAAAAAAAAAAAAAAAGGATCTCAACGTATGTGGATGTTTGTTGCTTCATCATCATCATCATCAGTCTATCGCAGTCCACTGCTGTTTGTTGCTTAATTTCTATAAATGAAGAATAAATATCTTCTCCCTCTTGGTGCTATTTAAACCATTATGTATATGAAGGTTAAATATAGTTAACAACAATAATTATCAGCTCACGTAATGAATGAATGATCACCTAGTAACCAGTTGCCAATAAGAGGGCATTAAAATGCCTGTAAGCGTAGTAATAAAATAAAAAGTCTTACATAGAAAGGTATGAGTCCATTGCGAATGTCTTCTTCAATAGCGTCTTTTAAAATATCGCCGGTTAGACGTCTCTTATGATCAGGTTTTAAGTTGCGAAGCTTCACACCACCGAGGAGGCCAGCACGTTCAACTGACGAGTGAGCTTGCTCTGCAAATCAATGGATAAACATTAAAATGTCGAATGGGAAATACTGAACACAGTTCGTATAATTAATTTGCATTTCGGTATCTCCTTTTGCTCCTACCCTTTTGCTGATATCAATTAGAATAGCGACTAGACTTGTGAACCTTTTAGGTAGTTTGAAATTGCCATTGTATACTAATAGATACTTTGAATTGATATAAAACCTTCATGGTGTGATAGAATTAATATCGGATCGAATGTGACATGTGACGAAAAGTGGATTGTTTACAATAACCATAAGCGAAAAGTGCAAAGGCTGACCCCAGGTTAAACGCCGCAGCAGCGCCCTGAAGCAAAGTTTACCAATAAAAAGGTAATGGTAACTATTTGGTGGTATCTTCATGGTGTTATTCACTATAGCTTTCTCATCTGCATATAGCTACTATAGCTTTCTTCATAGCATCTGCTGTGTTATTGCCTAACCAGACGGCCTTCGAAAAATGATGGCGAAACCGACAGTGAAACAGTTCCGATTCGTGAATCGATCTTCACCATTATTGCTCTATGATAACGCAAGACCTCACACTGCACGATAAACCGTTGCAACTCTACAGGAGCTGCACATCCTCCTTCTCGCCAGACTTTGCTCCAACGGACTACCATTTTTTTTCGTGAATTGGACAATTATCTACTTAATAAAAAAAAATCTTCCAAGTAGGCAATACTAAATGCTTTCACACAGTTTGTCGAATCTAGATCCGCAGAGTTCTATCGTAAAGGCATAAATAAACTTCCTTTTAGATGGCAGCAATGTATATAAAATGAGAGTGAATACTTTGATTAAAGAAAAAAACGCGTTTCAATTTTTCAATACAAATCGGCATACTTTTACCCATTTTTTTTTGTCTGTGCGGAAATCTCTTCGGATACTACACACCGGTGGTTATGTCGAACATGAACCGACCAAAAACCGCACGCTGTCTCGGGTACTCGTCTCGGGAACCAGGTGTACATTAGGAAGAAAATCCCTGGAACCCCAACGGACCCCGGGCCATCTACGGCTTGTAGTTGAGTTTCCCCCTCGTGTGTGGGAACCACGGTGTTCCCCTTCTACAATCATCACCCTGATTCGGTATACCTAGGTATTTCTTGTATGCTCGCCATCGAGAAAGGTTGACTGAAGAAAATGTCCTTCTATGTACCAACTTTTAAACTTTGATATATATTATTAGTTCGGTTATCTTTGTCTAGTATGGATTTTGTGATTTTATTTTGTGGTTTTCATTTATTTACTCATGTCTGGCATTCCCCACGAGTGATGTATATCCACATTTGGCAATCTTTATTCTTGGTCACACGTACATTATAGGCCTAGCCTATTGTCCTCTATTAGTCAAATCTGTAATATTGAACCTTAAACCAAACCTTGAGACAAAATAACTTTGAATTTAGCTTTTTAAATAAACCAATCATATTTATCTAATAAACCAACACGTCATTCTTGTAGATATGTACGAAAATAAAATCAAAACGCCAGGCAGAGCTGGGACGCTCAGGTGGATGTTCTTACGAAAAACAGATACTTACTATTGCAATAGCCAACGAGTTTTGAAATGATCTCAGTTTCAGTCCATTCGGGGTGTTGTTGCTTAACACGATGCATGGTGCGAGCTTTAGCGCCTAACAAAGCGACGAGAGTAGCCTCGCTGGCAGTGCCTTGAATCACGCCTCCAGCCTCACCACCGGAACGAGCCAGAAAACATTCAGGAAGTCCCAGCATCTGGCCCAGCCAATCCAGCATTACGACTTCCAGCTCAGTACATGCTGGACTTGCAATCTGAAACAATAATTCGTATAGTTATACAAACATGCTAAGAAATTGCGTCATACAATTTTGTAACAGTGATTGAAATACATCCAGAAGTCCAAGTGTGGTTAAGCACTGCTAGAGACTCATTGACCAACAAGTTTCATTTCCAAATCTGAAATTAAGAAATATAGGTACCGAATTACAAAACAAAAATGCGTTGAACTAGCCTGGAAAAGGTTTTGGACGAAGGATGTATGTCAACGTAAGTTTGGACGCACATAATTATTATGGTTTTACAACGTTATTTTAAGACCATAGACTAGCCTTTTTATTTGATACCAGCTGACCCACGCTACTTTATCTGCTTCTCTCAAGAGGAATATATTTTCTCGTTTTCACAACATTTTTCATCGATACTCAGTTCTTATCATACTTCATGCTTGGTCGCAGCATGAAGTTAAAAAGCCTATATTTTAATTGCACTTTTGTTACACACAACACTTACTAGACCCGAATGAAGGTTACCCTTTCCTTCGCTTCGCTCTTTTTTACTAGTTACCTATTTAAGAATTTAAAAGACTTTTAACTCACATAGGTTACAATCATTTTTTATTCTTATAAGTGATATGTGAAACCCTAATCAATAGCATAGTTAAGGTATAGTTAAGTTATAGTGGTAAAGTTAGCGCAAGTTGAGTTAGTAGAGGAAACCGGACCATGTTTTTTCAAGTCTCTCTCGGATCGACGCCGCGTCTTGTAAAGCCCTATCCCGCGGAAGCCGCGGGCTTCCCCCCGCCTATCGGCCCACTCATTATATGTGGCGGCCTGATCACATTTTTGCGACCAGGCCACTATACCATTACCTATCGCAGCAGTTAATCTGCCACCAGAGGTCCTTGTAAAAACTTTCGGTACCGTTACAGGTCAACGTATATACTGGAAATGTGCAAGATTTGGAAGTTTTTCACATAATTTATTCGAACCTTATTTATATATTTATATAATAATAACTTTCTGTCGTGCGTTATATTTTCAGTAATCCCTCCAGTATAGTTGGGTGCCGACGTATAAACACAATTGTACTTCCACTACTGACTACTAACACAATAATAAATCTGTCATAGGTTTACAAAATGTGCTTTTACAGAAAAAAGGCTTATGCTAAGGTATTTCAACGCTATTGGATAATTAATTGACTGATAAAAAAAAACTGTTATAAAATGGACCAGGAATCAAATTTGATATCAGCATTTCAGGTAGCTATATGAAATGTACACATTATACACACCCAAGTGAAACCTATACAGGCGATGGCCCCACTCAGCATATCAGCCACGATGGCTGGATACGAGTTCGCTGTTGGGAAGTATGCGTGGAAGCGCGGAGAATGCCAGTGGGTAACGCCAGACATTACGACGCGTTCAATGTCAGCCATCACCGCTGTCCATGGCTCCGCCTGCTGAGGCGCCTGCTCCGGAACTAAGGGACGCAAATACCCTGGTTTTACTGATGGCACCACTTGCCTGAAAAATTTAATACAACTATTTAGTACCCATGGTTGGTTTCTTGTTGTTATCAAGCGATCGTAGTTCATGACAGTTTAGCGGTTCGTGATATCTATTATGTTCTAGCACCCTAAAGCAGGTAGACGTACCTATAGTTGAAATATACTGAGTTAAAGTTACAGATACTAAATAAAAACCATATCGGTCAGTGGTTCTAATGTGGTTTAAAGCGTATTAACGCTTAGACCTGGGCCTTTTACAATAAAACGAAAGGTGTTCTGAAATGTTCATTTGAATTCATTTGTTCATTGAACTTGGTGAAGTGGTGTTTTAATCCAGAATTTCGACCAATACTAAGAACTTGCCTTGAGTGTACATAGAACGTAGCCTTGAGTTTCTGCTCGTAAGTAAGTTTGATACATCTAAAAGAGAACGGAACGGGGAGTGTGGAATTTCTATTGACTCCAAGCTTGAAATTAGGTAGCCGTTGGCTTAATATTTTTACTTAGTTGTGTAAAATATAATATAACCATCGAAGCAAGTCTACATTTATTAACTGAAAACATTTAATTTGCTATTCTTTTGTTTTTAACATTGACATTGATATCAAAGCTACATTGATTCGTACCTGTCTCTAATATTCTCCAAATACTCCGCAATATAGTCCGTCATCGCTTTAGCGAAATCTTTAAAGTCTCCAGCTTCCATTGTGTCTGAAAATAGAAAATATTATTTTATTATGAAATATGATAGTACTATCAACAGGTAGTAAATACGTATATCGAGATAGGAATATATTGAATAACAATCTGCACATAAATTCTAACCGAATAAGATAACAGTTTGTTCCTGTGTAAGATAAGTGTGGTAGGTATACTTAAATTTTGTTATCACCGATCTTCCTTTACCAATCTCGAACTCAATATATTAATGGTGTTTATTATAATTAGGGTATCTTGATTGCATGATATTAATGTTTAGTGTAAGTTAACAGTTTCTTTTGAGTTTAAGCTTTTTTTATTTCAAGTAGGTATGAGGAACATCGTTATCAACAGATGCATATACCTACCTACTTATAGTGCTACTTAATCACGATGCTTAGAATTATGCAGGCATGCGTTGTAAAGCAAGCAAAATCATATAATTATATTTGTAACTTAATCCTTAAAGAACAGATTTAAATGTTTTAGAAGGTAATTTTAGCTTTTCAACTGTTTTTCCTTATAAGTAATGTATTCATTTTTATGCATGAAATAAAAGTTTTGATATAAAAGGAGTTTGAAAGTACGCTATTAGAAGGATTAAAATATTAGACAAATTCTTGAATATAAAAAAATATTAAATGTAAACATTGACAATCACTCGACGAATAGACAGAGAAGTCTGCTTGTCTATACTTCACTTATATTCTGAGTGGTGACTGTGACCCTTCATTACGCACGCTTTGATACTCTATTATAATGCGAGCCCACTACAGTGTTATAGGGTCAGTATTATAAAGACAAAACTAGCTTTGTAACAAAATAGTGGTATTTTACGGTGTCGCGTCATATTATGGTTGAATATTAATTTTGATAAAATGTTACTTTAACGAACATTAAAGTTTTAACATTATACTTGTGTGTTTGTGCTTATTGCATTTGCAGTTTTATTAATTAAGCGTAATTTAAGTAACAGGCACGTAAAAAAAATTGATCCATTCAATACCATTGCAGCTATTTTAATTTGTCAATAACAGAAATAGCAACACAGATCAGTCAAAACACATATTTTGTAATGAGATAAATAAAACAATAAGATAAGTCGTTAGGCCATATTTACTTTATTTATTATACGTCATGCTCATTGGTGCATTAGCGGGCTTAATACCTAACCCAATATCTACCAGTTAACCATGCATTGGGTGATGCAGAGAAAATAGGAAGTGGCTGTATTTATTTGACAGTTGCCTTACTGAGAGACGTTTTAACTACCTTTGATGAAAGGTGATCGAAAATGTAGGCAACAAAGAGCTCTCAATTTAACATTCAACGTCTTTAGTTTATGTGTGAAAACTGTCAATAAAAACACTTTAAGTTCTACTTTAGAAGTAAACACGTACGGTTGTAAAACCTTGATTACAAACAACAGGCTTTACGAAATAGTGATATTGTGTTTAAACAACTAGAGAAGCACTTTCGTAGGATAAGCACGCAAATTAAAGTAAGAAACATAAAAATAAATCAAGTTAACACAGTGTACAGTAGCATATTATGACACAATATATGCACATAGTATATCATTCTATACATAGCCAAGTTTCTCAAATACGAACCAAAGTTAAGCTTTAAGTCCTGTTCCGACATGGCTAGGGCTAGAGACAAAAGGATAAACACAAATATTATTCCTTATTATAATTATATACATGTACATCAACAGCTTTTAGTAGCCCACTGTTTGACATAAGCCTCTCCTTAGAAAGGAGGTATTGGCCTACTATACCACGCTGGCTAGACGGGTGGGTATAGGGTTTGCGTCAAGTTTTCCTTCTCTTTACAGTGCCGCGTAGTTTGCTCCCTTAGTCAGCTCTGGTGGTGGGGACACTCCGTATTCTTAATCCGTCACCACACATATACATGTACATAAATAGTTAATGTGTATAGATTACTAGATATGCAGAATAATTTATTACACAAGTGTTAACGCAAACGTCTGACGTTTCGTTAGCGTTACTTTGATTGATGGCATTCCTAATTACATATTCTTAGTCCTGTGCTTTCACCAATACGAATTAATACTACTAAATAGTGCATATTTTATATTCTACGTAGTGTCAGGTTGGATTCATAATACATTTAGAAAATCTCTTAATTGTTACAACTTGCTGAGTGCTCGATAGATGTACTAGTCAGCGCACTGGTTTCTAAAATATAACCAAAACGTCTAAAGCCTCAAACAATTAAGTGAGAGGCAACCAATAATTAAATTTACACAGTACTTATCCAGCAAATTAAGTCTTTTGCGCCTTGCACATTGATCAATATAAACAGGCAGTGATATTTAATTATTGTATATTGTAGGTTTATTAGTTTTATCGCTCACTACAGTCCAAAAAGTTTAATAAAAATGTCGGAATTAAATGATATTTAATATCGATAACTTTAATCTTGACCGATCACCAACCGACATTACGAGCTTAACAGAACTTAGATAGGTAGGCCGGGGTTTATGATATCTAATGAAGGATACATAAATGATCTCAATAAATCTTGAGGAAAACACCACCTACCTATTCCAAGCAGCGCCTATTCCAAAAAACTGCATATTTCTATGCATATAAACGTTATTGTAAATTCTTAATATGAACATTTTGGAAAAAGCATGATTTTATAACAGGCATAGTAATGTATTCTTAATTCCAGCAAAAAATATGTAGGTATGTTTATAATACCTATTACGAGTAATGGAACCTATGATTCTGTTACTTTTTTGGTATCAATCTTTTGGTTCTGTAATTTTATGTCAGTGAAATGCGCTATGTAAGATTTGTAACAAATGGCTCGCCTTACCTTAAAAAAAATTTCAACTAATTAATTGGCCCTCCTTAGGTACCCTAGTTCCATTTGCCTACCTGTAGTGAACGTGTATTGTGTGAAGAGCCATAGTCTTTTTGGTTAATAATATATTTTCTCGGCTAACTAACACTTAGCAAAGCCTAATACGAGTATTATTATTAATCTAGGTATTTTAGTTAAACATTTACGCTCTATTTCAAATTTGATAAACTACTTCTTGAGAAAGGCTATGAAACATCCATCACCCTACTACTCTTAGGAAAGGAGTGATTACTACAACAGTGAAACTGCGGCGAACTAACCCACGTATTTATGTCATTGATTGAATATGATACGGTCAATGTCAATTATTACATCATACTAACTATATCACATAGGTATTCAGTGTCAGATGAAATGCTACCGGTTGTCAAGTAAATAATGAATAGTTCGTGGTCCTTGTTCAATGCCGAGAGAGCGGCACAGCGCGGGCATTGGGTTTGCGCAATCTTGCGAGTACGCGCCGCACACCGAGCAAGTGGTGCGAGGTTATGTATAGACCGGCCTCCACGAGTCGTTGTGCATGTATCAAAGATAATATAAAAAGAAACTCAAGAACAATTTTGATATTTGGACAATTCAACGTATTATGACAGAGTAAATAAGCATTTTGCAGCTGTATCCCGAGCCGTAAGACGCGAACTACACTCGTAGACACTGCAAAAGTTTTCTAAAAACACACAATTCAAAAGCTTAACTGGTGTCACCAAGCGTAGTAAGGTTGAAATATGTAAAAAAACAAGGAATCGTTGCGGGGGACAATATTGTGATATTGAAATATAATATTTAGATATTGAGATAATCTCATTGAAAAATAAAATAAGTAATTACATTATTAACTATGTTTATATCGTTTAAGTTACATATAATAAAACCAATCCCACAAACGGCTATCATGACCCCAAATCCTGTAGTGTTATGCCGCCATGCCGGATAATCAGTTCTTGGATAAAATTAGCCAAAATCTTTGCTTTCATGAATTATTACCTGGTGACCATTACACTATGAGAACGATTTTATTGTTGTTGTAAGGGCTATCATTGGTACCAATATCAATAGTTTGTAGTTTACATTATACTAAGTGCAGTGCTAGTGTGAACCTGCGCAGTTTGCCATCTCTAACACAATATTATGCACATTATTGTTCGTAAAATCCGAGCGATCACTATATTACTTACCAAAAAGTACCCAGTTTTGGGGCAAATAATGTTTCCTTATAAATGAATAATCGCAATTAATATGTAGTTAAGATAACTACATATTATACGCCGCACATGCGTATAATAAACATACTGAATATGTTAAAATATTTTACAATGTTTTTAACAATGGTAAATTAAGTAGATAAAATATTCTATGCTATTTAGGTAGATATATTTCAATTTTTAGATTTTCAGGTAGCTCAAACTTGTGTACAAATATATTTATACTAAAACCACCGCTTTGAGCTACCGAGCGCGAGAGTGTAAAATCGAACTAAACTGATAAGAGTACATTGTTGTCAAACCAAAACTAACTACTAGATTTATAATGCGGTTATATTCAGTTTCCATTATTTGGGTTAATTCCATTAGCAAATTATTAATAATGTAAAAAACTAGTGGTTGTGAAAAAAATAGAGCTTGTGAGCAAAATAAGCCATTAGCACCTGCAGGACAGGCACTTTATGTCTTTTCTGATCATTTTGCATACTCGGTGTGTGCTCTGTGAAATAACTCCGAGGCAAGTTCATCTTAATTTCCCTGGCATAATTCCCAAAGAAGAATCTGAACCTTTAACAAATTTCTCGGTACTATATAATCAAGGAACTCGAACTATTATTTATCTACATTTATTTACTTATCAAGGCAACTTGTAGATTTATTATATTGTTGCTTACCGTGAAAACAAAATATGAAATCACGTGTGTAGGTATGTTAAGAATAATATAAACCTTATTATACTTGGTCGACCTTGCTATACAGGAACTTAACGCTCGTGGCCCGAAGCCACTTAATTTTCTTAGCTGGTCTATAAATAGTTTCATTAAAAGCATTATTTACAAAACTTCTTAGAGCTAAGTATTTTTATATTTGCAATCTTTTTAGTAGTTAACGGTTCAATCGCACAATTAACCCCCGATGACACGTCGCGACTTTAATTTTAAGTTTATAAAAAAATTGATTATGTTTTGTAACAATCGGTAAACATTGTTATGTATTTTCTCTTAATTATGATAAAATGACCTTTTATTGATTTGTCAAAAATTTGTGAATATAATGGAGGACGTTTCTGGTTTTAAAAAGTTTATAGAATTATGAAAATATTAACGCAAGTGTTAGTACCAGTAAATTGAAAATATATTTTATTACTACAGTTAACGCCATGGAGTCGGTGAGCCGAACTCATTTTATGGACGTGCTTTGAACTTTTTCTAAGTAATTTAACTTTGCAATAATTCTTTATTTTAATACAGTTAGTAATTTTAGTGACGGCTAAGTGTAACATCATAGTATGACCATTCTGAAGGTTGTTATTGATGCAAATAATAACACTAACTCCGAACGCAGTCCATAACCGTAATTTAAAAATATATAAGAGACGAATGTCCGATAATAAACTAAATTGTTGAAAATAGAGGTATTCAGTTATAAAGTACTTATTTCTATTAACTTAGTTATATAAGATGGGCCTATAACTTATCACCCTTATTCTCTTTCAAAGAGAATGGAGCACCATCTACAGCATGTTTTATTCAACGAATCTTATCAGATTCACGGCATCGATCGGTACGTACGGTCAAGGCGAGCTGAAACAAACCTTACACGCGATTGCTGAAAAAATTGTCTCTGCCCCTCACATTATATTACACATATAGCAATTTTTTTTTTAAATTATTTAGAATAATCTAACGCCAGGCTGGATACGCCTGGTATACTTAAAAATTAAAAAAAAGCATGTCTTCAAGCATGGACATTCTGCTTTTTCAGAGATAATTAGAAATCATTAAGAAAGACGTCACGGTATCGATATTTATGAAACAATTGGTCAATTAGCTATTTACTGGGTCAATAGCGCTTGTAATTATTGACATAGTAAACTAGGTTTTATAGGATTTTTTTATTTATGGAAACTATTAACAATCAAGATCCATAAATCACAGAGTTATTGATCATGTAAAACCACAACAATAAGATATGTATTATTTAACGAGTACACGATTTTAATAGATAAATCTGATTACATAACGGGACATGTGTCAGTGATAACGAAACATTTGACTAATAGGAAATAATTTATAAATATTATGACATGTGAGAATGATTCAATGAAAACTTACAAAAAACGCTTAGTTTGCCATCAACCGGGCATATATAAATACATACATATTGTGGATAAACTAAATCCAGACTCAGAGCAAATGATCGTGGTGTTCAAACAATATTTGTATTGGGTGTGAATCGAACCCACGACCTCTGACTGAGTAATCAGGATCGCTAAACACTAGACTAAAAGGCCCGTCATATTAAGGATAAATGTCAGTATGCAATGGTTTGGATAACTATATTAATTTTCTTGCATAGTAGCGTGATCAATGTAGAAAAATACGCCACCTACTTGTGGAGATAGAAAAACTGTTAACTTCGACTAGGTACCCAAACGATATACGGAATTCTAATATATACAATGTAAATATATAATAAACATTTTTTTTGTTAAAGACAACTGCTGTAGGAAAATATCCTGTGTCGCGGGGGACTTTACATACATACACGAAACGGACACAAAGAACACCCAGACAATTTGTGGATCACACAAAATAGTAAGCGGCGTGGCGACCGCTTAAACCACTACGCCATCCGTGCAGTCCATATATTTACAACGACTGCCCCATTTAATAAAAGGTACGATGTTACATTAAGTAAATATTTTTTTTATGAAAAGAAACTTGTTCAGGAAGTTTGAAGCTACTGTACAATGTCCTATTGTTGATGAATTACCTTTTGTGTGATCCAATTGTATTAAGACGATATAATCTATCTTGGCATGTGTTAAGCATACCGAGGTCAGGTCAGGTCCGTCGATAATAGCTTTATCAATTACTTAATTATGTAATAGTAATGCCCATGCCTGGTGATTTTTACTAATGGGTTTTTCATAATTCACTAACAAAATGTTACTATATACAAATGAAGTTGCGATACACTGAATAACAACTTTTATCCGTCTACAAACTGTTTCCGAAAGCCAATTTGACTTTAAAGCTAGTAGCTAGCTTTAAAGTAAAATTGGATTTTCTTTTATAAGTTGAATAAGTAGATTATATTAAAGAGGTAAAATTTATATAAATTAAGACCAAACAACTGGGTTTTATGATTGTGAAAATCCCGAACGAGACGTAAAGAATACAGGTAAAACGTTTAAATAATTAAAACGTTTACTAAGCAAGATATTTCGCGAGTCGCTTCGGTATAAGGAAAAACCCTCGCTGTGACGTTAGTTACCAAACGGGTAATCCCTCGTCGCGTTATCCGGTGACTTTACTTCGAGTGTTGAATGAATCAGGTGGAACGTAAATATGGTTTTCGTTCATTTAGCCATGGCCGGGCTATTCCGGGCTTAGTTTAGCCATATAGTGTTAATTTACAAACTAAGAAGTCAAATAGATATCTCAAAAACTAGCTTTTAAAATTTAATTTAATAAATTTAATTTTTAAAATGTTACTTCTGTATAGTAACGCCCAAAAAAGTGTAACTTTTGGGCTATCATATAGAAAACTAACATCAACAGCCCATACTAGTCCACTGCTGGACATAGGCCTCTCCTTAGAAAGGAGGTTTTGGCCTACTATACCACGCTGGCTGGAAAACTTGACACAAACCCTATACCAGGGGTGGTGACACTCCGTATTCTTAATCCGTCACCACACGGACAACAGAAAACTAACAATTTCATCGAAACTGACAGTTGTGTAATAGATGGGTAGAAAATAGTGACAACGGAACATTTAGAATATATTGAGTTGTACTAGGCATAAAAAGTGTAATCTGTAAGCTAATATTTACAAAGAAAAATGGTCTATTTAACTATATAGTTTTTGGGTGTGGCCTGAACTTAAGTTAAAGATCAAAGGTGGAGGTAATGGTTTAAAATCGTAAATCGTTGAAGGTAAGATTGCAGGGACTACTTTTCCAGAATTGAACCTTTACTATAACTAACGTGTGACTGAGAGCAAGGATATTTCTACTCTACATCAAAGAGGTGGACATCGGATTACATGCTTGAAGAATAAGGATCGTTTTACACCCTCCTGCACTCAACAGGTCTTCAGCTAAGAAAACTTAATGTTAGATCTTATTTAGGCAACTTCTATTACCTTTATAAAGAACCAAGTACAATTAAAAGGCAAATCCAGGTGAATTAATATAGTAGTTCCATGCACACACGGATAGGTAAATATAAATACGAATTTGGTGCAAGAATTACCCATATAATTATTAAACATAGGTGCAAAAATGAAATATATATCAAGAAAGATGAGATCGAGGCGTTGACTGATCACTAATTGTATGTACCTAGTTATAATAAAAGTTTTAGAAATAACAGTTGACACACCCTTGCTAATATCATGATCAGTAAAGATTGATTCGAAAGTGGTATGTCGATCCAAGGATAAAGTTTAAAAATATTTTATTAAATGTTAGTTTCAAAAGCAATCAAATTATTTTTATCATGCAAACCATTATTTATTAATAAGACAATACTTAAGTATCTCTATAATATTGAGAGACTTGATCTATAACATAGGTGTCAATATTTTTGACCATTGTCCTTTAATAATATCTAAATCTACATAGTTTGCATTTGACTAGGTACGTTTTGCAGTTTTTGGTCTATTTTCCCAATAAATTCGACAAACCTTAACTAACTGAACATGCAGGTACTTAAGGTTTTGTGATGTTTTGTTTATGTACTTGATGTAAAAAGCAATACCTATAATAATATGTTTAATAGGTTAGCAGTTCCAGGTGATAACGGTATAATAGTGTTACATAATCATTTATCAATATGACATATTATACTCATAAGATTATCTTCGATAACAACTAAATGCACCTTCAGCAGCTGATATTTTACTACCATTCAAATAAATTGATGTGTATACTTACCGAAGGTTGTAGTTGAAAAACTTGAAACACAAAAACAATAAGTTGATTAACAAAAACCACAGCGTTTACTAAGTTGCGAATATGTCGCAGTTATATTGTTTTCGAGAATTTTGTACGTGATCGTAGCGCACTACTGATTACTGACTGACGGTGCGTTCCACTTAACGCCTGCCTCGGACTACGCCCGCCGCCGCCAATCTCCCAACTTTATATACCAACGATACAAGTGAATTGTGCACTGTAGGTATAGGTAGCTGACTCCATTTAGAAGATTAGCTGCGGCGCCTGAGCTATAAACGCCTATCCTAATAGAAGACCTGAAAAAAAGTAGAGTACCTCCAGTACTCAAGAGAATACTCTGACAAGATGCATACGAAAGCAAGGGAGATACTTTGTAAAGCGTTTGAATAAAATAAATCTAAGACATTACAAATGATTTTAAATAAGACTACTCAAATATATTAAAATATATAAATTATGTGTCTTTGTCTAAGTTTCCACTAATCAGGACTTTGATAAGATCTGTAATTTATTGGTCAAGGTTAATTTATAATACAAACAGTTGCTTTTGCATAATTTTTATATGCTAAAAATTAACACACTTTAATTCAGATAGAGTAACTACGATAGGTAAACTGTAGAGAGATATATAATATGTTTTGTTATTATCATTTCGATTGGTTCAATTTAAATGCATTTTATTACTTATAAGGCTCAACCTCTTGGAAACGGGAGGTCGGCACAGGCATATTATAGATTTTGTATAGGTTTCATTTTTATTAAATTTATTTTGCTTACTATTTGACAAAATAGAAATTGTTGCTATTGTGTGTATATTGATCTATGACTTTAGTCTATATAAAAGACAATTTCAAACAATTAAAAAAATATTGAAATAAAGATAGTTTGATAATAATAATAAGAATGAAATACCTACGATGAAAGGGGCGTTTTAAATCTCTTTGTTTTGTATCCTTGGGGAAGAAAGTTTTTCCAGGGTAAACGGTATCCCCCGTTCGAAGAACTGAAGAAATCAAAATGAGAGAATTTTCCCACGAATTCTATCTTCACAAGATTCAGAAACAATCTACCTACAGAAGTCTTAACGTTTGTTGTCTACAGTCTGAGCTAATTAGGATTGTGCTTCTTATGCTGAGTAAGTAATATTTAGTAAGTGTTGTGTTTTTGTTGGTGAGTACATTCAGAGTTAATGAAGGCTCGGTTTTTTGGTTATTACAGTCAAATTTAATAATGGCTTCCTATTAGTTAATGAGTAGAGTAATGGTGCTTTGTTAGAGTACAATCAGAGTTTACAAATATTGTGTGTGTGTTGGTGAGTAGAGTCATAGTTCATTAATGTTATTTTAATTGATAAGTACAGTCAGAGATAATGAGAATTGTTTTTCCGTAAATGAGAACATTCAGAGTACCTTGATGAGATAGGTTTTTTAAAACGTTCGTAGTATCGCTGGTGTTATCAGTTTCAGTTTAAATGTACTGGTAAGCAAACCCAACAGGTAAGCAATGTGAACGTTTGTTTTCTTGTATCAACAAAAACGAAGTCTTGGTCATCAACTATTTAAAAAACATAAATGCAAGTAATTTCATCATCGTTATAAATTTTAATTTATTTATTGAGGCTATAGCGCTACGACTCTGAATACAACTGAAAAAGGCCTTTTTCATTATCTTCTAATTTACTTTAAAAATATTCCTAAAAGATATTTCTATTGTAGCTTTGCCTTTCCCTTTGAAATGTGTTGAGTTTTGTTTGTGTTCCTTTGTCAGAAGACACTCATATGCAATTCCGAAGTTTGGATTTAAAATGTGTTGCAATCACAGAAAAGAAAAAAAAATGTGCTTGCAACATATAATTTCATATATATATATATATATATATATATATATATATATATATATATAGTTACTTATAAAGCCTGTAAACTGAATGCTATTTAGGCATTTTCTACCAGTCGACCTTGCGATGCAGAGTTAAAACATGGTAGATGCACGGAAACCAAAAAAGAGATTTTGTGACAAATATAACATAATTTATAAAGATAGAAAGCAAACTATTTTTTTAATAAGTAATACAAATACAATAAGTAATAACGATACTAACACATATAATAAATAAGTATATAGGTACGTACGTATTTAGGAGTTTATATGTATGTAGGTATATATTGTGTGTATCTAAATACGTATTTATTATGCATAATATAAATTGTCGGAGAGAGTATAAAATTAAGTTGAATCTGATAGGGTATTTAGGAAATGTTTCCGAAACAGGTATTTAAAGCTTATTAATAGCTTATTATTAAGCCTAAAGTATATGTTTGGTGAGGATGGCTCTATAAAATAATTTTGATAATAATTACCAGTATAGATTGTAACAGTAATTATAATACCTAAGATTATTATAAGGTGCACTTCTATAAATCATCCTAATTTCCCTGATCTTTTATTTTCCTTATATTGTTAATTTTGGGTGTTAATTTTATAATCGTTTATTCACTGCTTTGGCGCCAACTCTCTTAAGGACTATAATCGTTTTCAGACGGGACAGTAAACGAAACTAAATTAGAGTAGGTACCACAAGGTACGGATAAGAAACGATGCTGATACTGAACGCGAAGAGACCATACTCTGTCATTTACACGGCGGACATACGGGTAATAACCCGTATGTCCGCCGTGTAAATGACGTGCCAGAGCAAGGGACACCAACTGACCCATGGCGTACAAAAAGAAAATTTTATTAATGAGAAATAAATATTAGCACTAATTATTTATTTGCAATTATTTGATTTACAAACAAATACAATTATATCTGTATCGCTTCAGGCCACACTTATGAAGTCAGAGACGGTTTAATTCATCCAGCAATCCATCTCTGAATGCAAGTGCATTCATATGTAAAGCTTTTTATTTAAAAGGACAACACGCGACATTTTAATCAATTGTCGATCAGCAATTACACATTTATTATGACCTCTAACTAGGTCTTACCTACCTTCAATTCCGGATATCCGAGTTTGATAATAATGTTGACTGCATTAGGGTTTGCGTTTTTTTGTTGTTATATGTTTTATTGTTCTTAAAATTTTAATTTTTACCCTAATTTATAAATGTACTTTAAATTTAATAAAAAATAACTGTGTAAAAAGAAGTTTATTTCTAACTTTATCTAAAATATTTTGCTTCTTTTAGTATTACACTTTGAAAATATAAAAGTAAGATAGTAAGGGCGACATTAAACAATTTCACCCTATTCTCGCAGGGAGCGAGCGAGTGAAGAGAATTGATTCAATTCCTTTTAACCTCGACTCGACAAAATCCGCTTTGGTAGAAAAGTGACATATAAATGTACAAGTATACGTATATTACGATGTCATAGAGAAAGTATGTGAGATACTAGGAGTAAATTATTGTAATACCTACATTCAATTTTAAAATTTAACAATATTCTAATTAATTTTGAACAGTGTTAAATAAACTACAACGTGGAGAAAACCTGAGTAATCAATCATTTTTTTTTCTCGTAATCTCTTTTTAGAAACTTGATGCTATTAAAAGTTTGCCACACTGAGCATTAGCTAGATTAAGTTACAGATGCAGGTCCTCGCGTATTTACCTTCCCAATAAAGAGAAATGTATTATGGAACATTGAAACGTGGAATATTAATTTCCGGCTATTCTTACACATAACTACTATTTAGGATGCTGAGATATTTATTATTATTTATTTATTGCTTTACTTCAACTTAATTTGTGTACATGACATTACGATCTGTGTCCCCCAAAACCGGGATAGGATGATGGAGAAATAGGATGGTATATGTTATACCTAATACTAATTTTAGTAACTGAAGTTGCAAGTATAGTAGAGCATTAGTTTACAGCACCAGGACCTAGAAAGACCGGCAACAGTTGAATCGCCAACTTGTCCATGAAAGGTGGTAGTCACTTACTAGATAGAATCATAACGATTCCCCTCGAACCGCTATCTTTTGCTTATTTTTAATAATACATTCTGTACAAAAGGTGAGAAGAAATACCTTCATTAGACTGGGTAATTTTAATAGTTAGACACAGATGTACAAGCCCTAGAATAAACAGAAGACTTAATATATTTTTTCAGCCTTAGTTTAATTCGCTTAAATCCAGGACTGTCACCACCCCTATTCATCCCGTGGGTGTCGTAAGAGTCGTCTAAGGGAACAAACTGCAAATCACAACTACACTGCAAAAAGACGGAAAACTTGAAACAGCCAGCATGGTATAGTAGGCCAAAACCTCCTTTCTAAGGAGAGGCCTATGTCCAGCAGTGGAATATTATAGGCTGCTAATGTGATGATGTGAAATCTAGGACTGGATGCCTGATTTAGAAAGAGACTGGTTCTTGCTTACCAAGCATTAAGGTAATTTTCTATAGCGCATGCTCCGACTTCAATCTGTAAATGCTGTTTCTTCTGCATATCGATGACATGCTGCAAACTAACTTGTGTCTGAAATTGAAACTTCCTTAACGGTTTCAGATGGGGTCGACTGAATCTAGTTCAGTACAACTCCTGCTTGTCGTATCACCTCGGTTTGAAAGCACCTCCCTAACTGAATCAGTCAGTGTTGGAATCTTAGGCATAGACATATAGAGCAAAAGCCAGTTTCGGGGTCACTTACAGGGTAAGGTCAAATTAGCCTAGAAAAAGTTCAGTGTGCTGAACAGATCGAGGCAGTATTTCACTCATGCCCACCACCTACAACTCTATAAGGCGCTAGTTCGACCGCATATAGAATACTGTTCTCATCTCCATGCAGGTGCACCCCAGTACAAGCTTCTTTCTCTGGACCGCACCTAACGGAAAGCGACTCGAATCGTCGATAGCCAGAAGATCTCTGATCGGCTCGACCACTTGGCGTTACGTAGAGATGTAGCTTCACTCTGCATTCCGTATCGTCTATATCATAGAGAGTGCTCCGAGAAATAGTTCGTCTTCTTCGGCAACTTTCCGCTATCGTTCTCAAAATGTTCATCCTCATCACTTGAGCAATTGGCCCTCCACCACAGTTCGCTTTTCGAAGAAAAATGAATTATATTAGCTGCTACTGAAACGCTATAAAGGATATGTTTGTTGTACATACATTTTTTTGTTGCTGGGGTGGAAAATCCCTTCGGATCTCCGGCTTCATGGGGATGTAGGAGCCAGGAGTATGTAGTGTTTCCGCTAAAAACCACCCCGACAGCCGGACTCAGGCGGCCTACTCCGTGGAGGTCCCGGCCCATGTTATTTCAGGTCCCCGAATCGACGCCTCGCACAATAAAGCCCTATCCCGGGGTAGCTGCGAGCTTTCCCCGCCTATCGGCTCAATCTTTATAATTGAAGACAATTTTGCGACCAGGCCGCCATCCTACCGCCTACCGCAACAATTAATCTGCCACCAGAGGTCCCCTACCACTGGCAGCCTGCGGCCCTGTCAACGGCTGGTATCGCCGCCGACGTCCTCTACGCTCGGGATCGTCCCTCTCCCGATCCCGTTCAGCGGTCTCTTACAGGAGCATTACAGCTTCACAGAAAGAGACCACTGCGCCCCAGCCCTCCTCACCCGCCAGCATGGCAGCAATAATTGCTGGCGGGGACAGATCTCGTCCGATTTGGTCGACCAGGACTTCGCGTTCAGACGCCCACGCGGGGTAGTCTTCCGGCGTGTGCTGGGCGGAGTCCCAGTCAACTGCGCACTGTTGGCATTGTGCTATCTCCTCGCGTCCAATCCAATTCAGGTACTCACCGAAGCAGCCATACCCAGTGTCCATACCTATCCAAGATTGGAGGCTAGGCAGAACGGCGCCGACAACGCGTTGGCGCGCATTCCACAGTTGCTCCAGCTGCGCGCGCCACTTTTTACTCTTCCCTGCTCTCACCCCGGCGGATCGTGTGAGTCTGGTCATAGACCCTCGAGTACATATCCGCCAGGATATCAAAAGACGGGAAACTTGCCAGGAATGTTGCCGCCTCCGACGAAATGGTGCGGTATCCCCGTACGATCCGAATGACCGCTACCCGAAGCACTTTATAGAGCTTAGCTCGGCAGCGGGAGGAGGCCGATAGGCGCTTGGCCCATATCGGCAATCCGTAGAGGGCCATGGACCGCAAAGTAAAGGCAAACTTCCTCCTGCGGAGCCCCTAGTTTAGGCAACAGCCTATGTAGGGAGCCCCGAACTCGAAGGATCGTCTGATCGAAATGCTCCTCGGAGCTCCAGCGGGTGTTCAGAGTGAGGCCGAGGTATTTAATGTGCCGGCCGAGCTCGACCTCAGTTCCCTCCACTTTAATAAGCGTGTTGGTGGGAGTTGCACCTCTGCTTTTCCTGTGAAACCACAGGGCTTCCGTCTTATGAGGTGCAACCCTTAGACCCAGACCGCTGATCCCTTGGACAATACAAGCCACCACTAACTCGGCCAGTACCTCGCATGTGACCTTCTTTCTACAATCTTCGCCGACCCGACCCATATACGATATGGACCTGTCGCGGAGATAAACGAGATGATGTCTCGCAAGTAGGGAAGCAACTGGTGATATACCAATGCCTTCCTAATCGCCCACCACGGGAGAGAGTTAAAGGCGTTGACTATGTCAAGACTGACAACCAACGCCACGGCCCCCCGACTGACAACCTCGCCGAGTCGAGCGTCTCTGTCGGAAGCCAAACTGGCTGTCTGATAAGTTGGGGCCCACTCGCGGCAGGTGTTGGGTGATACGGGCGGCATTAACTCACCGGTTTTGCCGCCTCGTCATGCAGGCATATCGGTCGGAACGCCAAGGGAGAATCTGCGGCCCTGCCAGGTTTCTGGATAAGTACCAGCCTGGCTTCCTTCCAGCCGGAAGAGAATACGCTATTACGAAGGCGGCTAGTAAACAGCCACCTCAGCGCACACGCATGCCTGGCCCGGTATCCCATCAGGGCCCATGGCGGTGTTGCTCGCGGCGAGTCGCTTCACGGCTCGGTCCAGCTCTTCCTTCGTCACGTCAAAGTTGTCGGACCACATAACTAGTTTCGACAACGACTGAAGGTGTGAGGGATTAATCCGGTCCCCGGGGAAGATGGTATCTACCACTCTTCGCACAAACACAGGGTCCAGGGTCTGCGTCAGTACAAGTTTACACGGGCGCCCCCATGGATCCCTATCCAGTCCCTCTACTAGCTCCTTCCAGGACCGAGCCTTGGCATCCGCGATCGCAAGGCTAACAGCCTTCGCGGCAGCGCACTTCGGCTGCTCGAGTTCCGGCTTGATCCGTGGCATCGACGCGTCACAGACGTCAGTCAAGACGCCACAAAACCAAGCCGCCGCTTCCGGATCGGACGAGACCCGTTCTTCCACTTCCTCTGGCCAAGCCGCGACGATGGCTGCGGCTTGGCCAGAGCATATCTCGGTTCATCCGCTTGAGGGCCCATCGTCGCGGAGGGCATCTGTTACGACGGTTCGGACCTGCGTCTGGGCGGCAGATGGCCACATCGAAAACGATGTGGCGATGGTCCAACAAAGTGACCACCTCCTCCGCGACCCTCCATACTGACACTTGGTCGATGAATGAGGGAGTCGCCCACGTCAGGTTGACGATCGGATCCCCCTGCCACCTCACGCAGGTGTTGACTGAACCCCGGTTCACAATGCCGAAGTTCAGTACCGCCGCCCAATGTTTGTTGTACCTAGCACCCAAATCTTATTGTATCGAATCTA